ACAGACACCCGCGCCGAGCCGTCGCCTCCCCGACTTTGTGTTGAGAGGCAGTTGAACCGCACTCAGCATCCCTTCATCCCTCCGCTCCTCTCCCACCTTACCTCATTCGCAAGACACAGCACAATAGGCACCTCAAAGGGTGAGAAAGAAACACCCCCTGGCAGAGACCACGAACGATGCCCCCCCCCCAAAAAAAGTAAGTTGGACTGCACAGGAGTTGACGTTCTTAAAGAAGGTGTACGGGCCTTTGCGTCTCTCCCAGCCCCCCTTCCCACCCCTAAAACGCAACAAACATACAGCTTGTTTTCCTTGGGCTTAAGAGGAGGAACTGTAAATTCAAAAGGCATTTTCTTTTTTGGCTTACGGATAAGAATCAAATCACCCCAAATCAGTTTTATACATGATTGGTTTGCCTCTTTCTTGCACACTAGTTAGGAATTTTACTGCTGCCTTTCAAGCTAAGAAAAATCAGGGAATGATGTGCCAGACAAAAGATAATGCACGTAAGTTGACAGACTCCGAGTGCTGTCTGGAAATTTGGGAGAATATCTTCTAGTTCTTATTTCCAGCTCTTAATGGTGTCAAGGATGAAAATCCACAAATCGATGTGATACTGTTTGTTCATTAAGCAAATACTTATTGAACATTTACTGTGTGCTAAGCACTGTTCTTGGCACGGGGGTACAACAGTGAACAAAGCAAAAGGACGATCTTCACCCAGCAGGAGTTCACACTGGCAGAGTTCATACCGTGGGGTAAACGAATGATAAATAAAAGGTATAGAATGTCAATGGTAAGGGCAGAAAAAGCAGAGAAAGTGGTTAGGCATTATGAATGAGGGTGGGGAGGTGGCGATTCTATATATGTAAGAGAACTCACCTGGAACCTGATATTTGAGCAAAGACCCAAAGGAAGTGATAGAGCAGAGTCATACTGATGCACGTGAGAAGAGCAGTATTGGCAAAAGCACCAGCAAGTGCAAAGGCCCTAGGCCTGGAATTTGCTTAGTGTACCACTTAAGCAACAGCAGAGAAGCTATTGTAACTGGCACAGAGTGAGCATAGAGAAAGAAGTATGAGCTGAGCTGAAGGATAGGATAGAGTGTAGGCCTTTTAAAAGACTTTGGCTTTTACTCTGAGATAGGGACTGGACATTTTCAGCAGAAGAGTGACTGATCTGACATTTTTAACAGGGTTTCCCTGGCTGGTGTGTGGAGAATAGACTGAAGAGAACGAGGATGGAAGCAGGGAGACTAGTTAGGAGGCTATTGCAATAATCCTCTCATCCAAACAAGATAAAGTGCTTTTTAAAATCAGTAAGTAGTAAGGTAAATTTCCAATTGACTTAAGCGATGTAGAGATCAAGGACCACAGTCATTCATCTATATTTTTGTTCCATGTGACTAGTGATTAAACATATGGAACTGGCTTGTGACACAATAACAATGTGGTATCCACAAAACATCTGCTCAGGTATTTAGTTAGAGATTGATCTTCTCCATTTAAGCAGGCACATAATTTAGAGAAGAATATTGTTTTTAAAGGCTTAATATCAGCACAATCTTTCATTTGGTAAGGATTTTCTATTTTGACTTTTCTATTTGTGGTCATGAGTTGCCAAAGCCTTTAAGGAATAGACCTTTTTGAGATGCAATTATTCCTCTGATATTTTTGCTGTATTATTTTGCCTATTATAAATTACTTTGGGATTAAAGGAAAAGAAAGAGCTATCATGTTTCTATCTTTGAACTCAATTATCAGTCTTGATCAGATGTAATTTTAAATAAAATGATGTGTATTTTATTGTGGGTCAAGAGCACAGATCTATTTTCATTTTGTTCCAACTGCTGCTTTTAAGTTTGATGCCTTAACTGTTAAGAGTTGGCTCAGGTGTCTGCCCAGGAATATTGTGAGAGTTAAGTACCAAAATAAAAGACAAAATCAATATGAGGAGGTTTTTTATAATGAGTCCTTTTATAGTAATTGGAACATTAATTTTTAGAAACATTTTTGGATTCTTTTATAATTCATAAACGGTACCATAGTATCTACATGAGCTCTTCTGAAGCACAATTCTACAGAATTTCACTGCCCTGGAACTTTTTTTTATAATTTGTATCATCAGACTGCATGCAGGATCGTGGTGTTTACAGAGCATAAGCTCTTGAGCAGTGCATCTCAAACTGTTTGCATTCAGAGATGTATACATACAGACTTTTTAATGGTTATGTATTTATTTCATGTGAATTATAAAAAATATGTCAAACTTCTTGCTTAGAACATCTACATAGTCAATTTAAAGAAATTTTTAAGCAAATAGTATATTATACTATTATACTATGTAACCCAGATATGGCAAAATTATGATGTGAATGACTAAGGACTTTACAGTAATATACATTGTAGGCCAAAAGCATCATAATCCCCTGGGATGCTTATTAAAAATGCACATTCCTGGACCCACAGAATCGGGATTTCTGGGATATTTTTCTCTATCTTTAACAAGATCCCCAGCTGTTCCTTCTGCACACTAAAGTTTGAGAACTGCTGCTGGTAGACCTAGATTGCAAAGGTGAATGGACCAGAGAGGAAGCTGATTTGTGGTTTTTCAGACTTGTCCTGATGTTTTAATATTAGATTCAGAATTGCTGTTTATTGGAAAAGTATCTTTGATTTTCTACCAGTTCTTAACCCTCCCAGACCCTCAGCCTTTGATTGTAAGGCAGATCCATGAGGATAGGTATAATATCTTGAGTATATTTCCATTTCTACCCTACTTGCCTTGCCCACAGTACGTACCAAGTGAATGAATGAGTGAATACATGAAGTAACTCATTCATATCTTTATACTAGTTTCTGATTGTCCACAATCCCTCATACTACTTTTACTTGCCCTTTTCTCTCAGAATGTTGCCTGTCATACTCATTTTAACCAACACTCCCATTCTCCAGTGTTCTTAGAACTCTTAGGTGTTGATTATTCAACAAATATTTATTGAGCAGTCACAATGCCAAATATTGATTAAGACATAATACCTGTCTTTAAGAAAATTTTAGTCTAGTCCAGGATGTGGACAAATAAGCAGATATTTACAAAAAGCATAAGTGCTCTTACCATCTACAGAATATAAAGGTACATATCTTTAAAGGAATCATGGAAGATTTCCTGGAGAAGAGTTCTAAGAAGTGATGTGTGTACTTTAGTTTAAAATGATGTAGAAGGAGCAACAAGGAGGGTGAGGGACGAGAAAAAGGTCTAGGATGTAAGTGGTGCTTTTGAGAATGTACTTTTGGGAGAAAACTACATTTCAAAATAGTATAGTTAGTGGTACAGATGTAACTTAAAAGAAGCCCAGTGATAGACAGATCGACATAGCCAATACCTAGAGTCAAAAGAAAGTTCGTATGGGTGTCTTTATTTTTATTTTTTTCTACCTGGAAAAAAGACAATCGTATTTGTAGACTTACAGAAAAACCCAGTGTAGGGGAGAGGGGAGAAACTGAAAAGGCAAAAGAAAGAATAATTTCTTAATAAAGCATTCAAGACCTGTTTTTTTAATAGCTACCATGTGCTTAGGCACTTGCTGTTCTAGAAGCTGGGGATGAGACAGATAAGGCTCCTATTCTTGTAAAGCAGATCTCTGCAGATGAGAGAGTGTTCGGAATAGTATCAAGAGTGCAAATGAAGAGTTAGTCCAGTAGGAAAAAAAGAAAGAATGAAGGAAGAACAGAAATTGAGAGATGAAGAAGAAGGAAGTTGAGTCATTCATTTCAGATGAAGTGGTTTTAAG